TATCTCTATATAGATATAGATATAGACATAGTGTTGTCATTGTGAAGTGCCATTGAGTCAGTTCTGACCCATAGCGACCCTGTAAAGGGTTTCTGAGGAACAGCTGGTGAGCTTGACCCGCCGACCTTGCAGTTCAAACGGCTTTGCAGTCTGGCACATTAACCCACAGCACCAAACCAGTACCCTATATATTCTGCATATGATGCTAAAAGTGGCATTTATTTCTTCTAATTTCCTGATTTGTTTATAATGTTCTACAATAAAAATGGGTATCATTCAAATTAGAAAAAATATACTATGCGTCAAGTTCCAAAAGCCAGTCCATAATATGGCCATATATATGGCACATTCACAGATATCTAAAGATGCTTGTGTTTTCTTCAAGGTTTCTGGGCACACTTTGCAGAGTAATAGCCAAAATTGTTCCATTACTGTAAGACACACAAAAAGACTTGAAGATACAAAGGGTTTCTTTCAAGTTCTTTATTACTTGAACCATCTTTTTTCCTACTTTGTTATACTGGGAGCTTTTTCATTTCCTCAAAGTGAAAGATAGTGCTTCTACATTCTTCCCATCTCAGAGACTGGAGTAAACATCACTGGTCTCATTGTGTTACCTTCCTCTGTCTGTGTTCAACACTATGGGTCCTTAAGAGCACATATAAGTATCTTATCTTATTACTCATGTCATTTTATAAGGACTTGAAATCCAAATTTTTTATTGAACTCACAAATGGAGCTTATGATTAGCATCAAATAAAAACACTGACAAATAAATAAACCATAGATTGTACTTACATGAAAGCTGGTCAGGAGAAAGAAGTCCTATTATAAGAGATCATGTATAACTCAGTGCAGACGGTTACAAACTACTGGCTTGTCATCATTAGTCCTTAGCAGACTCATCAATTCTTAATATAACCCTACTGTGGTTTTCTTCAGTGTAGAGTGTGTACAACCAGAGTCAAGACCATGTGAATTTACTGAGATGAAAATAAAAATGTTTCCAGAAGTGAAAAAAAATTTAAAGAATAAATTGTGGTTCTCCAACATACCAATGTTCACACCATCCTTTGTGGCTAGGACTGCTCACCCTATCTGAGCTTGTTCAGATAATAAATTATTGAAGAGAGTCCACTAAGTTAGTTTTGGTGTTTAAAAATAATTTAGGTTTTGGAGGTGGGATAAGGGAAGCATTTCAGCAGCTCTACTCATTTCCATTACCGTAGGACTCACAGATCTCTTAGAGACTTTTTGTATGGTACTTGGTCTGATAGCATCGATGTTGTTGTGCCTTCAAATCAATTCTGAATAAGGTTTCTGAGGAGCAGATGGTGGGTTTGAACTGCCAATATTGAGATTACAAGTCTAGTTCATATCCTATAGTACTACAGCCTTGATAAGTGTTCTAAAACTCTGGTAGCCACTTTTTAAGCTAAAAAATCTAAAGGGATTACCAAGGCACCAATAGTTGATTAAAGGTCTCCTATAGCCAGTTCTTCTTAGCTTTCTTTAGAACGTATGTGCTCACATGTGTCTAGATTCCTGTATTTTGGTCCTTGGGACTCAAGCTTCATTCCCTCACCATTTCAAAAGAGTTCCATATCTTTCCCCAGGCTGTGTTCAACAAAGGTTCTGCCTTTGTAACTTTCTTCCCAGAATCCTCACAGTCTTTCCTCTCAGCCCCTTCAGTTTTCACACTATAGAGATGCAACTTTATTCAAGTGGTAACATATCTATATGTTAGTTCCTCAGGGAAGGTTAATTAATTTTAGAAACCTTTGCCAAAATGGCCACCAAACATTAATCTTTTCCCTTTGCTTTCCCTAATGTCAGTGAATGACATTTTTCACAAAGGCTATTACGTGATCTACCAAAACAACAGCAACAACAAAAAACAAACAATAGCAGCCTTCAAATAAATTCTAACCTATGTCTTCCCTACATGTGCAAAGTAGATCTGCTTCAGGGGGTTTTCTAGGTTGTGAGCTTTCAGAAGCCAATCTGCAGAACTTCTTTTGAAGTGTCTCTAGGTGGGTTTAAACTGTCAAACTTTTCATAGCCCAGGCATTCTAAAATCATTTCCAGAGCTGGGTTAATCATCAGGTTATACTCAGAACATGGAGTCTTTTATTTCCAACAATGGTCTTTGAAGTTTTAAAATATGCAAGTCATATTGTCATTTATAAATTACAATAGCTATACAGTGATATATATAAAATCCTGTATTTAAAATGTTATATGTGGCACCCTTTGTGGTTAAACAATTATTATGCCCATTTTATAGATGTGAAGCACTATGACTTTAAATAATTTATCCAGGGTAAAAGTGAGTAGGCGATTGTTGTTGCTGTTGTTACCTGCAGGAACTGACTCATAAAAACCTTATGCATAACAGAGCAAAAGTCTGGTGGGTCCTGTACCAATTTCACAATAATTGTTACACTTGAAGTCATTGCTGCAGTCACTGTGCCAATCCATATTATTAGGGGCTTTCCTCTTTATTAATGACCCTTCACTATGCCTAGAGTGATATCTTTCTTCAAGGACTGGTCCCTTCTAATAATATGTCGGAAATATGAGAGACAAAGTCTTGCAATCCTGGCTTCTAAGGAGCATTCTGACTGTACTTCTTACAATACAGATTTATTTTTTTGGCAGTACATGGTAATTCTAAATTATTCTTCAAAACCATAACTCAACTGCATCAATTCTTCTATGATCTTCCTTATTCATTATCCAACTTTCATACACATATGAAGTTATTAATACTCAAACTGATACCTTTACTCTTGAGATCTTGTGCAACATATTGTGGTCTTTGATCTTCATCATTAACTATTTTAAGTCTTCTTCCCTTTCAGCAAGCAAAGTTGTATCATCTGTATATTTTAGGTTGTAAATGAGTCTTCTTCTAAATCTGATGTTATGTTCTTCTTCATATTACCCATTTTTTTGGATTATGAATAGCATACACATTGACAGTTGTTTTTAACTGCCATCAAGTTGGTTCCAACTCATAATGAACCTGTAATTTGGCTTCTGAGGAGCAGCTAGTGAGCTTGAACTGCCAACCTTGCAGTTCAAACTGACCTTGCAGTCCAACACATTAGCCCACACCAGGACTCCTCAGATTGAACGCTATTGTTGTTAGATGCCACTGGTTGGTACTTACTCATAGTGACCCTATGAACAACAGAACAAAACACTACCCTGTTCTTGGACCAACCTTACAATTGTTGCCACACTTGATCCCATGGATGCTGCCAGTTTGCCAATCCATATCTCTGGGGGTCTTCCTCTTTTTCTCTGACCCTTCACCTTTCCAAACATGATTTCT